TTTTAATTTGTTTCATTTTTTTTCAGTAATTCTTATAATCAAAACAACTTTTTCAAACTTTATTCAAGTATATTTGAGGTATTCCACGCCAAACGAGTCAACTGCTGACCCTTACCCTCTTGGAAATTAATGGCGATTTTTTTATACAATTGGGGGCGGTTGAAGAACTATCTCCCAAATTTTTTCAGATTTTTTCGCCAGCCCAGCTCGGAGATATGATTTTTTTTACTTTTTTTCGTTTTTTTTCCAATAACTCGAGTTCTATTTGTCCCATTTTTATTTTTTAAGCGTCAAAATTTTCCATTTTTTACCCCCTATACGAGTATTTCCAGTAAATATTTTTTTTTCGATTCCTAGATACTCATAATAACGAATTTTCGAAAAAAAAAAGTTGAAAAAGTTGAGTTTTGCAAATTATGTCAGTTTTAATTTGTTTCATTTTTTTTCAGTAATTCTTATAATCAAAACAACTTTTTCAAACTTTATTCAAGTATATTTGAGGTATTCCACGCCAAACGAGTCAACCGCTGACCCTTACCCTCTTGGAAATTAATGGCGATTTTTTTATACAATTGGGGGCGGTTGAAGAACTATCTCTCAAATTTTTTCAGATTTTTTCGCCGGCCCAGCTCGGAGATATGATTTTTTTTACTTTTTTTCGTTTTTTTTCCAATAACTTGAGTTCTATTTGTCCCATTTTTATTTTTTAAGCGTCAAAATTTTCCATTTTTTACCCCCTATACGAGTATTTTCAGTAAATATTTTTTTTTCGATTCCTAGATACTCATAATAACGAATTTTCGAGAAAAAAAAGTTGAAAAAGTTGAATTTTGCAAATTATGTCACTTTTGATTTGTTTCATTTTTTTTCAGTAATTCTTATAATCAAAACAAGTATTTTGAGCCGTCATACAACTTGGGGATCCTTCTGGGTCTATTATATTTTCAATTTTTTTTTCTTCGAAATTCCGCAAATTTGGTCAAAACACCCCAAAATGGCGTTGATTGACCTCGATTATAGACAGTATGAAATAAATTTTACTGTATCCATATATATCGTATTTTTTCGATACATAATCGAAGTCTTGTTGGGGGTGTTTTGACCAAATTTGCGGAATTTCAAAAAGAAAAAATTGTAAATAAAATAGCTCATCATTAATAAAAGTCATCAATGATAAATAATTTTTTTCAAGCTCTTTGAATTTATTTTTCCTCGTTACACTCAACGACTCAGCTGGAATTTATTCACACTACTTTAAGAAAATATGTCTCATTTGAGAATATTTTTTCCTTCCGAGTGTTCACTCCGAATGTTCCCCCCAAATTTCCATAACTCACGTCTCTAAAACCCTCCCAATTCAGAAGAGAACATTCCCGACCACTCCGAATTCTGCGAATGCACCAATAATTCAATACAACGCGAATCCCTCCTACTCGCCCAATTCCATTAAATCCCCCACCCCCATCGAAAAATAAATTGAGGATCGAATCCCATAATCATTATCTCCATATATTGCCAGCGTACCGTGAAATACTCGTTCACTCTTGCGCACAGAGAATTATAATTTTCATTGTCAGCATCATGTTGGAGGTAAAACGTCCAACCGAATATTCTGTTTCAGAGGTGCACAAGAGCGTGTCACAGCCGGGGGGAATGATCATTTAAGCGAGAGAGGAGTATAAAAAAAGGGTATTGGAGGGAAAAAAATTAGTGAAGAGGGTTCGGATAGCGGGCGAGCAATTAGCGCAACGGTCCGCGCTAATGATGAGTCTTAGTCAATCGAGTTCTCGAGACAATTTCTTGTAGATAATACACTGAGAGAAGAACAGCGGAGTTCTCAAACAAGTCTTACTTGTGCCAAAAAAATAGTTCGTTAAAAATCATCAAAAAGAGTTTTTTTTTGTGCCAAACATGTGAAACGCGCGACAAGATTAAAAAATTTTATTGCAAAAATAAATTTAGTCTTTTCAAAAAAATTTCATTCTTTGTGCAAGCAAGACATGTAATTTTTAGCACTACTTCTTCGTTATTCGATGCTCTCATACGCATTTTGCTCTCAAATGCTCGTTTTAGTAAGAAAAAAACAAACGAAAAAAAGTTGGAAAATTCACAGGAAAAAGTTCTGAGTATGCTACATCATTGAGAATTCTTGCACATTTTTTTCAGATCTCAGTCTCAAGAAAAAAATAATGAAATTCGGATTACCCCACTCTCATTTAGGGAAATTTCCGTGGCACCCAAAAAAATAATGAACTATTGAGGAAAAACTAGTGGGTGATAAATCAAATTTTTCTTGAGAACACGTATAAGTTTCAGATTTTTTTCAGATTTCATAAGAAAGTTATTTGAACAAATGATTCGGAACATTTTGAGTTTCGGGGCAATAACGCCCTCACGCGCAGGCGCGTGATTCGAATGTCAGTGAGCATCATGGGAAAGGTATGGGTTGGACCATGGAACTGAGAGAGAGAAAACACTCGACAGGTTTACCAACTCGAGACGCATTTTAATATTATCTCAATAATTAGAAAAAGCTCCAATAAAAATTATTTGACACCCGTAGGTGATGAGAAAAAAATCAATCAATCTGATAAATAAAATCAATATTCAAAAAATGTTCAAACGCACACATAAATAGCTACTTGAAAATTGGAAAATTTCGTGCTCAGCGATTGAATCAGGGCTCGAGAATAATAAGACTCTCCCTCCGTTTCACTCCCCGGTAATCAACAGACGAAACACCTAAATAGCTAATTATGCGATTTTATCGTAAATTTCAAATCTAAAATTCCACCCAAAAATGTTCAGCAGCTCTGTCCTGCGGTTTTCTGGGCAATCCTCTTCGCGTCATTCGCGTTCACCAATTTATCACTGCTCATTGTCGCGGTTAATGCGTAATTAACTGTGACCACTGGCTCATGATGGGCGTAATTACAATTGAAAAGATGGGCAGCGATATGGATATGTCAAAAATACCTCTACCCTCTCATGTGTTTTGGATAATCGCAGGTATTTGCGGGAGCATTCGCGCGTGAGTCGTCACAAACGGCTAGCTGAAACTATATGCATTAATGTGGATTCTCCTCCCTCCACCCCACACACACACACACATACACACACACACACACACACACACACACACACACACACACCGGAAATGGACGATCTCGGGGCCTTCCGTTTCAGGAGGCTCCAGTGCATGCGGTTTCTAGGTGGATTGCACAAAGGGAAATGGAGGGGTCAGTGTTGAGAATTATTGATTGGCGGGATATGTTGAGTTAACAAAAACATTAAAACGTGTGGGAATTTTCATTTGAAAGAATTCATTCAACTTATTGAATTAATCAGAGATATTTTATATAATTTCTGTTCCAAATTTTATCTTCAAAAAGTAGAATTCCTTCAATAGGACACGAAAAAATTTGTAAAGTAACAAAAATCATTAAAATAATTAATTATTAATTAATAATATTAATAATAAAAAATAATATAAATTCATTGATATTTTATTAATTTGCATTAATAATTAATAATTATTATGAATTACAATTAATCACTAAAATTATTAAATGATCGAAGAATTTCCTGTTGAATAACATGATTATATGAATTTCTATAAAACTTTACGTTGAAATTTTTTTTTTAAATCAATCCGTCGTCTAAACAATTTTCTTCATTGATTTTATTTGATTTATTTGAGTTCACGAATCACGTCTCTTACAATTTCGTTGACATATAATAAACATAATCAATGTAATGAACTTAGGAACTCACTGACTATTTCTAATCGAAGATGTGTCAAACAATCAGATTCTAGTCCATTGTAAAACTACAAAAGGCTTCCTATTTACCAAATGCAATCTCATTAATCTTCAAATCGTGCTATTAATGTCAATAACTCGTTAAAAATATTATTAAGACTTGTGAGAATTGGTGAAGAAAAAAAATCAATCAGCCTACTCATCAGTTAGAGATGTTTTATCTCAATTTTGCCTCCAAATTTATTTCAAAACAATTCAAAATTTGAATCTTACTAAGGAATATCATTTTATCGTTATTATTCACATTAGTATTCAAATACTTGCAATTATAAAATTAGGATCAGAAGAAGAGAATAATTGTCTATTGAATCAGTTTTTTTCCATTTTCGACAATATTTTGCATTCAAAGAATGAATATCAATACGAATTCATCCTCTAAACAATTGAATTAACTTATTTAATAAAAAGCGAAATTTTATTCTCAAACAAGAGACTTTGTTTTCAAATACGACGAAGAAGTGGATAATAATTATTACAATACCAATGCTACTGACAACGAGAGGATAACCATGGGCGTAAGTCCCGGACTGGGAACCTAAGGGGCGTCGGTTCAAACCCAACCTCCAGCGATTTTTCGCATTTCCTCAAATTTTCGTTCATGTTACGTATCAGCCCAAAATAAGATATTACAATACCAATGATAATTATTATTTGAATTAAAAAATGAATATAAAAATCAATTCATCAGCTGAATAATTATTCGACTTAAAAAACAAGTCTCTCATCAATTACTCAAACTTCATTTCTAAGCAAAAAAAATTGTTTCTAAATGACACAAAAAGATAATAATCATTATAACAGTTACAATAATTATTTTTAATTATAAATTCATAATTACCATTGACATTAGTAAAATAATAATTCTCCTAAATCAATTAATTGTATTGATTTTATTGTCATTTTTCATTAAAAAATAATGTATGGGCATGAATTTATTTTGCAGAATTTCTTTGCTTCATGTGACAAATTATCGTTCACATCCCATCGCCCTTATTTTTCCCGCAAAAATTGACCCAATGATTCACCCTGTTATCTTCCAAACAATTCACCCACAATTTTTATCTCCAAATAACAGCGTCATCTCGACTATCTCCACTATACTACAGCGTTATTGATCGTGTCTAAGCAGCTGGACTCGGTGTGGCTCTGACAGTAGTGCTAGGGCTGCCACCGGGAAAACACACGTGTTCAACTTTTTTTTTTCACATTTTCTCATTCGTTCGTTTTCCCCGTGTATCGTGTAAGAGAGTAAAACGCACTGTATTTTGCGCATTATTGTGGCGCACCCTCGTTATGTTTCACTCTGCAATAGTGCCCACACAATGCACCCGGTGTTATTGCGAGGCGAATGTCAATCGTTGGGTTAAGAGCGAGTTGGCTTATTCAGTGAAACTTGAAACAAAAGGGATTATTCGGGAGTGACACGAGTGCTTTCTTAGATCCATGGAAATAGTGAATGGTCTTTTGGTCTTTTATTCAGGTTTTTGAATGAATTTGTCGGTTCATGAATGAATTCAACAGATCAATACTCTTATTCGATGAGAAGTAATAATAGAGCTTTCCCAGATTTTTTATTTATTCTTTGAGTTGATTGGAAGATCTATTTTTATTATTTTTAATGATAAGTCATCTGTATTTTTTAAAAATAATTTTATTCATTAAAAATTTTTTTCATTCATTTATACAATGAATAAATTAGGATATTCTTTTCTTAATTTCATTTAATATAAATTATTGATTATTAATCAAGAGGTGAATTGTCGATTTTTTTACTTTTGTGCGATGAGAAAAAATAATGGGGTTTTTCCCAGCTTTTTTGTTCATCTTTTGAATTGATTTGAAGATGTATTTTCATTTTTCAACAATGATAATTCATTTATAATTTTTCAAAATAATTCCATTCATCTCATATTTTTTCTCATTTCAATTTTATATATTAGGGGAGGATGGGGCAAAACGGCCCCCCTTCAATCGTCAATATTTTCCGATTCAATAATCCGATTGGGATGAGTTAGAGCTCGTTTTGAAGAATGAAAAATTATCTTCAAAATGAAGTTGAAACTGGGAATTTTCACAATGTCATTCACAAGTTATTGGCAATTGAATGGGGGCCGTTTTGCCCCACCCTCCCCTATTATTCATTATATTATTCATTTTTATTCGATTAATCAATTAAAACTATTACTCCAACCGTTGCCCCAAACAGAATTAAATAGCAAAACAGATATTTCCTTTAAAAAAAAAAGATAATTCATCGATAATTAAAAAAAATAATTTACATCATCTTTTAATTTCTGTTCATATCAACTATAAATCACCAATCAATCTACGAATCCTGTTGTTCAAATCACGTTTTATGTCTCTTCGATGAATCAATCAACAATGACTCCAACGGTCGCCCCAAAGGAGTAAAAAAAAATAGTGGGCGGTAATGACCACGTGTAATTTGATCCTCATCAGCGATCGCATCCGTTTATCTCGTTAAAATTGTATTCTCCACGCCCTTCAACACAAGGTAAAGGGGGAAGAGAGCGAAATAAAAAGCTCCGAAAAAAGCATCAAAGAATTTTCAAACTCGGGACGACTCAGTGCCGGATTAGTTGAACCAACTCCCGCCTTTTTCAACACCGCCAGTTTTTTCTCTCGCCTTTTTTTCCCCCCGGCAGAATCAGTTCTCACTGACGAGTTCAGTGAGTCGCTCAGACACACGCGGTTACATAATACCCTGGCAGACTTACACACACATGTATCAGTTTATACGCGAATCCATCAACTCCCCCATTTTTACATCTCGTAGCCGGCGTATGTAGCATAACGCCTCATCGATCTCTCCCGACAGAAACAATGAGAGAAAAAAATTACTTTCCAACGCGAAAAAATTCAATCTCCTCCGGACAAAAAAACTAATTAAATTCGCTGTTTAAATTCCCTTCACTGAAATGCTATTTCGTCATTAAAGTGTAGTGATAAGACTGATTAAAATCGAGTGAGCACGGAGTACTGGAGATGCGAGTGATAATGAAAATTGAAACGTCAGTTCAGTACTGACGAAAAAGGTCATCAGGGTTAATCGCAATGTCTACGCCAGACACGATGGACAGAATCGACGAGGTCGAGGCGGCTTGGAGTGAGTATTTGTTTTCAACCACATCCTCCCACCCTCTGACCCTCACCCCATGTCTCCAGTTTAAATCCAAGTCCAGAGAACCAAAAATGGAAGCATATGCCGCAACTTTTATTTTCAGTCTCTTGTGGGTGAGACTTACACTGGGAAGAGAAATGTAATTTTGTCACGTGAGTTTTCATTTTTGTTGGGGTATGATCTTGGAGGACTGCGCGCTCATGGGGAAGAATATATTTTACCGAAATTGATAACATTCTTTCGGTTTATTATTGGATTTAGAAATGATTAAGAATAGAAATTATTACAAGAAATTAGAAATTTGAAAATTTTGAAATTTTTCATGAATTTCCCTGAAAGTGAGCTTTCTGATGATTTCTTCAAATGTGATGTTTCAATTTATTCAAGTACTTGTAAATAACATTTTTGTATTTACATTTTATTGAAGGGCTGAAGGGTGAGATAGAACCGTGAAAAAGACAATTGGTTATAAAATTGTTTATAAAATTTTTAATTCGTACTGAAAATTCAAGAAAATTGAGGTTTTTATGTGGAAAACTGACGAAGAACTTGAATTCTTATATTCATTCAAAAAAATTGAACAGAATATCAAATTAAATTTTCGATAATTCAAGAAAAAAATAATTTCTGCTTGAAATTTCATAGTTGTCAGCAATTTCCACCGCCATATCATGTTAGAAAAAAAAATTGAAAAAAATGAATGAATAAATAATAATAATAATAATAATAATCTATTATTATTAATTAATAATTTTTTTGATTATTTAACAATTAATTTTAGAAAATTATTAATTGTTAAATAATAAAAAAATATTAATTATTATTATTAATCAAATAAATTATTAACAATTAATAATTAATTAATTAGACCAATTATTCAACAATTAATCATTTTTAATTATTATTTTTTTCAATTAATAATTGTATTGTATTATTAATTATGTATTTTAATAATTAATAATTAATTATTAATTATTATTAATAATTATTAATTATTAAAATACATAATTAATAATACAATACAATTATTAATTGAAAAAATTAATAATTAAAAATGATTAATTGTTGAATAATTGGTCTAATTAACTAATTAATTATTAATTGTTAATTCATTATTGTTAAATAATTATTTGTCAATGTTTCAAGAGATTTTACTTCAACTTTAAAGTGAAATTCGCCATCAGTGCAGCTATAATATCGCGAATACCTGATCCTCTATGTTTCTCTTCCAAGTAATATAATTATCTTATCAGCCTCACAGTTCATCAGCATAAGAACGTAAAATCCATTTAAGGCAATTATACATTCAATTCTAGGAAATGCGTACGATAAGAGAAAGTTTTTCTTTGCAACTTCATCTTCAAAATGGAAACTATTTTCAATTATCTTAACTATTAAATATTACGAGGAAATTCAAGTACGAACATTTTGCAGCGATTTTATTGTTAAAATTTTGAAAGTTTAAATTTTATTTTTCTTCTCAACTGTTGGACCGCATTTTCATAGTCTTTAAAAAATTGTGAAGTAGTCTATTTGTAGATAAAGATTCATAAAATAAATAAAAATTTGTAATTTAGGAAGATTATTACCTTTTTGCGTAAACATTTTATAAACAATTTTTTTTCCGCCCTAAAAATCATTTCGATTTTGACCTTGTGCCATTAAGAAATCGATTTCACACCAAAAAATATTTTTGAATATTTAACAATTTATATGAATTTGTTGTATCCAGCGTGGGGGGTACTTATGATTATTTAGGATCTTGGGTTGGAGCCGTAAATCCTAACAATAGTTTATAGGCATTTAAATACGAGAGTTTATTACTTGATTACCATAACTGTATCATCTGGCTGATTACAATGAGTTACGACTTTGGTGCGCGCCGGAGTCCAATTCAGGTGTGATCTGTGCACACCCAAACGGCCTCTTAAATAATTAGTTGATTGTTTATGTTTCTTCACTGGGTCAGCATAATCCAGTTGCGCTGGCGAGTGTCACGTTGACAATGCAGTATATTCACATATCCAACAATAGCGCAATTTAAGAAATCTGGAGCCATAAATTATTTATAAAAAGAAAATGCGAAAAAACAAATAGAAAATTGCTCTCGTCATAGTCAATATATTTTTGCTGGTAGATTCGCGATTTCATTAGCAATCTGACTACGTATTTTAAATTAAATTCTCTAATTCATTGAATTCAACATTGCCCCAACTTTAAAATTTCCGACCTTTCCCTGGATATTGGTTTCAAAATACTTTTTCCAAACAATTGATGATGCAATCAGTTTCGATTTGAATTGAATTCTCGATGTATAACAATATTAGTCCAAGATTGACGCAAAGTTGGCGCAAGGTTGGCTCAAGGTTGGCCCAATGTTGGCGCAAGGTTGGCCCAATGTTGGCGGATGGTTTTTTGGCTATAATTCGAAAACTGAAAATGGCATCGACACCATATTCGAACTCGGCCTGGATAACATGACTGCGAATATTTCTAGCGCAAATTCAATCGATTTGGACAATTATTTTTTTAGTTATCGTGGCAAGACAGAATCATTCACACACATATATACGGACGTGCTCTAAAAACATCATATTCTGATTCCTGAGCCCAGAATTAGTCATCCTAACACGGAAAACTAGAAAATTCAATTTTGAGGAATACAATGCTTCCATTCGTAAACAAAACTGTCAAAAAATAATTTCAATGGCGCTGATTATCCACAAATTTCTCCAACGCCATCAACAAATTTGTTTATACCTGAAAATTGTGAGGAATCAAAGATTTCTGTTGCCCCCTAAATAAACCCTACTTGGTTAGCAAAAATTTTTCTCTGGCTTCAAAAAGTAACTACTTCAACAATGCCATCCATTTTCCTCCTCCTCCGACTAGTAAACACGGAATACCCAAAAGAGGTGCAAAAAGCAAATTTGCTTTGAACTCACGAGTGTTGAGAATTGCAACCGAGTGATGTGTTATTTATACTTACACCATGTACGTAATTCTTCAAAAACGTGTGGCGACACACTAACGCATGTATCGTACTTTAAAGATGATCTATGATCCTCCGAGTGCACCATAAATCAGTTCAGCTGAATGAGAAAAAGTGATGAGGCATCCGAGGAATTCAGCGGATGATAATTAATTACCATCAGCAGAAAGAAAGACACACACACACTAACACACATACCCACCTGGTGGCTTTTGCCCTCGGGAAACATGCTCTCAACTTTTTAAATCTTCTTATCACATTTTTTTGCTACGAAACCGGTTTCCACCGCCCGACACCCCTTTGCCGGCTGACGGTAAAATCGCATTGTTTTCATTCTGTTGTGAATTCCTTGTTCTCAATGAAAAAAAAGAACGAGAAAGACGGAGAGATGTCTGAAGAGTTTGATTCGCCGGATGTTATTCCTACGTTCCATTTATCAGATTAAAAATGAAAATAAAAAACCGATTTATCCACTTTTGTTGCAGATGAGATGCTGGAATGTGAGACTGGATCTCTCCTTGGTAGAGTAGCGGACCTCGAGAGGCAGTCCTTGGCACAGAGAGACGAGATTGTTTGTCTCCGTGCAACTTTGGCCGATGCATTGAGAAGAATCGCCCAATTGGAAGGCAGAGATAAGAGGGAGGATGAGAGGAGTGAGAGGAGAAATGAGAGACTCACTTCATCACCGATGAGAAATGGCCATGTACCTTTGCGAAGTGAGTACAACATTCCTTTCTTCAAACAAACTTATCTTCAATTCATTAAACATCGAATAAAGCCCAATCGAGCATCTTCATTAATTCCGCGTTTATCTCGATAACGACTGCGTCTGGAAGAAAACACAAGAGGACCTTTTTCGTAGCTGACGAAATTTCCAATGAAAAATGTCTATTGGTATTTTCTCCCAGGAGCAGTCGTTATCGAGATAATTCAATATGAAACAAGAATGCCTTCGTTAATTTCTGATAATTTCCTTTTTCGTCATTGCAAACTGTCGAGTCATGTTAATTTCATATCTGAAAACTAGACTAATCGTACCACATTGCGATATCACTTTGAACAAACTCATGGAAACAAACAAACACTCGCCCTAAATATCACCTTTCGAATTATAACAAGTAGTACGTAAGCTCACACGTGTTGCAAATTTTCCCCCCTTTCGTGGTATTTGAGCCACTAGGAATGTAACATACCTTGACTTCGCACAGCCGGAAACCTTACGAGGTCAACCCAGTTCGAGGCGAAAGTTCGTCACGATCCAGAGATGATACTGTATTGGGTTGTAAACACGCGATGGTTAAGGTCGTTTTAAGCCTTCATTTTTGCCCCATCTGGCTCTCCCCCCAGTGAAAAGAAAGCCAATAAGCAGTCATCGTAAATCACCGACTCATTCAGCTCTCGGATGATTGTTTACTTGCAATTTTTAGGTGCCCAGAATTTGACGCAGAAGGATGTGAGGGTGAGGCAGACTAATGCGTCGTGTTTGAGATCATCCCCTTCTTCGGGATCTGCGCACGATGTTAGAGACTCCATTGGGAGCCCTAGGAGACCGGTGAGCTATGCTGCACCATCACAGTTACCACAAAGGTATAGTTTGGTTGATGGAGATGGAATGTTGGTTGAAAGATTGAAGGGATTGCTTGGAGATATCTCGGAGGGTCATGGGTTTGGAGGAGAATGTCAAAGGGTCTTCGAAGCGACCTTTCTGTTCTTAACACTTCGTTGACTGCCAAGTTTGAAGCTACTTGCCTGTTGCCTTTCAATTTACTTCCCTCTGATTTCGGCGAGAAAACGTCATAACAGTTAAAAATTCATTATTAGTACACTGAGGGAAGAACAAACACATTGTCAAACAAGTCTTGTTTGGGCCAACAAAATCGCTAGTTGAAAATTGCCAAAAAAGAATTTGTTTGGTTCGAATTTGGAAGTCTCAAACATGAATAATTGTTCTGCTTTCGACAGGAACGAAACATTTGGCTCAAGAGGCGGATAATTCCCACCAGACGGTGCCTTGTCAGGATGAAACTATCTCATTTTATCCCTAAGTTACAAGATTGCTATCATATCATTATTATTGTTTCATTTAAGGGTTCATTTGTTGTCTGTGATTATTAGACAGCCGAAACGAAAAACTACTATCCCTTGTTTCGCATAAAACAAAGATTTTTAGGGAGCAAAATACGTATGGGAGTATCGAATAACGAAGGAGTTGTGCTAGAAGTGACATTTCTTGCGTGTACAGAGAATGCAATTTTTTTTGATCTACTAAATCTATTTTTGTGACAAAAATTTTTCATCCCGGCGCACTCTGCATGTTTGGCCCAAAAATCCTTTTTTGATAATTTTCGAAAAACTATTTTCTTGGCACAAGTAAGACTTGTTTGAGAACTTTGTCGTTATTCTCTCAGTGTAGAACGACTATAATTGCCAAAGGGAAGAGACAAGCTAAGGGCTTGACTCTTTCCCCTTACCCTTTCGTTTTACCCATACAATTTTTCATACCACTGTTTTGAAAGCCTTGGAATCTCTTAAAAAGAAAGTTCTTCAACGGATATGGCTTGACAATTCCCTTCTAAAGGGATCTGCAAAAACAAAAGAATCCATATAAAAATGCACCTTGAGAAAGATTGACTACTCTTATAATTTCAGAGATAACATCAAAGCTCTTCACAAAACATGTCAATGAAACTCGACAGCATGACTGATCCATTACCATTTTCCAGACGATCGGTTCACTACCAATCAACAGGCTCACTCCACTCGGACAGCCCAAGCAGCAGCAGTGTCTCCCCAGTTCCATCACCAAGTCCCCGAGCGACTCCCCTACCAGTCGCCAGGTAAATTTACCCCTCCCACCGAAAACCCCCTAATCCCCAATTAACCTTGAGCACAAACCAATGAACAGCCACCGCATTGTAGCGAGTTTCCAAAGACCGAGAATAAGTCGACTAATTGATTCTAATGAAATTCACCTCAGATCGCCAACAACAAGGACAAATGGGCCACCGCAGAGTAGTCTGAGACGAGCGAAACGCTGGTCGTCAACCGGTGACTTTACACACTCTCCACAGTCACCAGGCAATAATTCCCAACTGGGCACGGCAAGGTAAGAAATCCTTTTGACACCATCATCATGCACATTTTGCCTGCAGCTCCACCTCATCATTCATGATTGCGTTTTGTTTGATTTATCTGAGCCCTGCAAGTTTATTATCTACTTATATTTTTTCATGATGCACCCGCATGCCTCTCGTTTTGTTTGCATTTGGCGTTTGTAGATTGTCAGCATCAACAAAGTCACTGTTCAACCTCTTCAAGCCCCCGGTTCTCAGCAACGTCAAGCACGGGTAAATAATCTCATTTGTGCCTTTCACTTTAGGTTTAAGATATGGTAGTGTACTATGTTTGTCAATATATGGACTGCGAGGACTGGGTTTCAACGACTCTTGGTGAATTCGCAATCATTTTGAGTGATCGTTCCGAGTTTTGGTGGTGAGTTGATTGATGGTTGAATGACACCTGTTGATTTCGATGGTATCGAGTCGAGTTTGACGCAGGATAGTTTTAAAAATTCTTATTTGGGACGAAAGGTGGAGAGGATGTAGACTTTCTCTAATTTTGTAATATTTTGACAACGGTAGCGAAAGGAAAACCATTGGGATGCAATAACTTTCAGGTGCATTCGTCATTTCGTGTAATCTCTTTAAGGATTTTTTTTTATGAAATGGCGAAGTTTTCCATGGATTGACCTATATAATTGATACCTTTCCCATCAAAACTGACTATCTGACATCTCTACAGGAGAAGGTTTGTGGCATTTTTTATGAGAAAGCAATACTGAATTCCAATTCAAAGCATCTTCTAACATTTGGAAATCATCCGCTAATCAAATACAGCGAATTTGCAATGTGTTTAAACTATTATTTAGAGCTTTGACTTCGAATTAATTGAGTTTGATTTGGAATGGTTGACAAAATTTACTTTTCATGGCAAGAATTGAGGAGCTTCTCATCTTCTGTTCGTTATGGTTATATTGTAATGAATCTTCAACTTCTCAATTGCGTTCTATGATTTATTTATCCTTTTCCTTCTCCCGAATCTCTCCTCTGAAGTTAGCGTCACTCTTTAGTCATTCATTATTCTTTTTCTTTCCGTTTTTTACACTTCCTGTTATATTTTTCTGCGCCTCGTTTAATTACAATAAACTATTATTTATTTTAAACTTGCGTGTTCTTCAATTGGTATCAGAAGTGGGATTCGAACCCACTTCTAAAGAACAATGAACTTATTTCGAGTCAAATGCTATTCTCTTTTGTATTTTCCGTCTGGGTTTTCGAAGAAGATATGGGTTAAGAGCCCGGAATAACTGAAATCTCGGAACCTTTTGATTTCTGATATTTCAGTTGCTCTTAACAGGTTTACTTGATTGTCGAGGCGACAATCTTTCTTTCAGAGAAGGAAGTAGTGTAACGAATCTTTAACTTCTCAACTGCGTTCTATGATTTATTGATTCTCTTCTTATCCCGAATCTCTCCTCTGAAGTTAGCGTCACTCTTTACTCATTCACTATTCTTTTTCCTTCCGTTTTTTACACTTCCTGTTATATTTTTCTTCACTTCGTTTAATTACAATAAACTATTATTTATTTCAAACCCGCGTGTTCTTCAATATCCTCGACTCCAAGAGAGAGGAGCAGCCACCAAACAATTGGGGATGACGTAATTCTTTAAAATTTCAACAACACCCAAATTTTAATGAGGGCTCGGATTTCCTAATGCGATGGCAGAACTAATTAACGAATTGAATAGAATATCATGGTAGTAAAAAGAACATCACAAAGAAACAATAATTCTCAGTCTCACTCACCATCTCATAGTATTTTACTCTCAAACGGGTTTGACATCAAATGGTTAAAGAAATGATACCTTTCCAAAATTCCCCCTAAAAATAAATAAATCAAAATGAAGAAAAAATGCGCCTACATTTGCATCTCCAAACAATCAGAAATCATTCGCTGAATTCCTGATCAAACACTCGCCACTACTCTCCACCTGAAATCCATCAACTTTCCGAATAGCTGGATTCCCCAACCGTATCCTTAATCACACTTTAATAAAACATTTTTCCTGCGGAATTCTCCGCGAGATATGAAATGATAATTTATTATTCCTCGGTTCGATGCCGAAGAAAGCGATGCGTTTCCTTTGCCGACGCAACATAACAATTCCGGGTCTTTTCCCTTGTTCTTCCGCACGAGTTTTCTCGGCTCGTTGGCTGCCAGCCAGCAATAATAAAAAAAAGTGAATTCTTTCTATTTTTTATTCCAACGAAGGATGAAATAAAATGCATCCCAAGGTTTTTTGAGTCTTCAACATTCAGATGGGGACCATTACGCTCTCGAGAATATGATTCACCCAATGTTTGTCGGGGGAAAAAAAAATAAAGTGGTCTCGGTGGTTGGCGTCAATGACGTTATTACGCCTTGAGAGTGGGAAGAGAGAACAGGCGAAAATTGTCGACGGCAGTTACAGCTGTGTTCTCGGGAAGATAGCTTCAATATCACTCCTAACGTAACATTCCCATCGGGCAATATCGCTTGTAACAGTGAGGATAAAAAGTAACAGCCTAGGATATCCCGTAATTGCCGGTATGTTAATAAATTGAATTGGTGAATGAGATTGGACAAGTGTCATTTGCATTAATGAATCGAAAAGACAAGTTAGCCGGGAAACCAGTTGATCTAAAGCACCTGACCAACTACTCAGAACATTACTTCAATCACAAGGACAATATCCATGAATAATTTCCGTTCTGCTATTTTTAAACTCTTTTCAAAATCACAAACACCGGAAATAATGGCCATTATCTGTCCTTGGATCATTGTCTGAGAACAACAATGAAAAAGCTCTTCAGAAGCGTTCAATCATCATAACCAAACTTATTCTCATGAAAGATACTTGAGGTAGATCCCTAGAAAACACGTTTGATGCTTGTAATTTATACTATTTTTTTTATTTTCTTTCCATTTCCATATTCGCAATTAGATTAATTTAATTTACCCATTCTCATTCTTATTCAATACGAAAATGCAATACAAAATCAGATTCCTGAGAAAAAATCGCGCGAAGAATACTATTTTTAAATTTTTTTCTCGAATACCAAAAAAGTTTTTTCCAGGGGTGAATCTCCCCTTAATTTCCCACATTAATAAAAAATGTGAGATCATTTAAGTAATGAATGCTGTGAGTGACCTCAAAGGCATGCAATTATTTTCGGGGTTCAGCCGCATGTTTTTTACATCCACGAAGAATGAGAAGAATAAGCATGAAGTATTCCTTGCTCTCCTATTTAATAAAATATTCTCTTTCTCTCCTAAATGTAGCACAAGAGAAATGCAGTACAATGAGTCTGAGGGAACGGTACGTATGTACCTCCGAGGCAGACCGGTGGTGTTGTACGTGCCGACACCTGCGTTAGACACCTATGACCCACACAAGGTTAATACACCACCTCAAAGTAAACTCAAATTAGATTGGGTGTACGGATACAGAGGGAGAGACTGCAGGAGTAATCTTCATCTGTTGCCAACCGGTGAAATTGTTTATTTCGTTGCGGCCGTTGTTGTTCTCTATAATATGGAGGAGCACAGTCAAAGGCATTACCTGGGGCACACCGATGATGTCAAATGGTAATACGATTATCAACTTCTTGAGTTAGATCAAAGACCAGAGTTGTTTGGAGTTTATCAGGGAGTAATTAATTTATCACTTTTAGCATGGCTGTTCATCCGAATAAGATGGTGGTTGCAACTGGCCAAGTTGCGGGGACTGATAGGAGAGAAGCTATGGTTAGTATTTTGGGTTGAGGCTCTTGAGGGGAAACTTTTGTTTCAACAGTTGGAGCAAGTTTTTGGGGGAAATTGAGGGATGAAGGGGTGCACAATGACAACATTATAGAATTACAGATGAAGTAAGGAATTAAGAGGTTGACAAGTTGGCTGGGAATGGGACCGAGGACTCATCAGATCAATTCAGAGTTCCTATACGAATTTCCGGAATAGGTTTAAAACCGATGAGCGTAATCACACAACAAATACTAGCACATTCGAAAACTGACAAGAAAAAAATGGAGTGCAATATTTTGAACTCTACCTGATAGGAGAGAAGCTATGGTTAGTATTTTGGGTTGAGGCTCTTGAGGGGAAACTTTTGGTTCAACAGTTGGAGCAAGTTTTTGGGGGAAATTGAGGAATGAAGGGGTGGACAATGACAACATTATAGAATTACAGATGAAGTAAGGAATCAAGGGGTTGACAAGTTGGCTGGGAATGCGACAGAGGACTCATCAGATCAATTCAGAGTTCCTATACGAATTTCCGGAATAGGTTTAAAACCGATGAGCGTAATCACACAACAAATACTAGCACATTCGAAAACTGACAAGAAAAAAAAGGAGTGCAATATTTTGAACCCTACTTCAAGGAGTCGGCAAAACCCTGGGACGAAAACTGCAAACTACCGAGAGCGGCTATCGTTACTGTTAACCGCGTTAGAGCCAACCATTACCACCTTGCCGCCTCCTTGAAAAGGATCGGTATAGTTGATGACGCAAGTTGCTCGTTGTGAGAGAATCAAATTGTTAGACAGACTGAAAAAATCTAGTTTCTCTCCTTCCTATACCACAAAAAAGTTCGTAGACGGAGATAACCACAAATATATCGAAGAAATTTGGAAATACAATATCCAAATCGACTTCTGGTGATGAAAATTTGGTACTTAAAATTAAGACTTCAAAATCAAGGGTCACAAGGGTTAACATAAGGGTCTCGAGGATCAAAATAAGGGCCATGAGAGTCAGAATCGAGGTCACACGGCCTGAATAAGGCTCAGGAGGGTCACATTAAGGGTCACAAGGATCAGATTAAATGTCACAAGGGACTGACTTTTGGGTCCGATTGTCTTGGGATATACCTTAATGGTTCGTACCAAGTGAGACAAAGGAACGAGTTACTGATTCAAGTCGATTAACTGATCTCTTCATGTTCGATGAATGCATTTCCTTAATTAAGAAAAGATATTGAGCATTCATATCAATCACTAACGTAAAGAATTGAAAGTTTCCATTGAGTGTGAAAGTTTGGCTACATTCTCTTCTAAAGAGTAACGAACTCAATGTATATCAGGCAAATTAATAATTTTTCTCAATGGAATATTCATGAACTTCCAACGAAGTGAGAAGTAATATTCATTGCAACAACGACTGGAATCTCTTGACAATCGTGGGTGTCATTTTTGGCTTCTCATGAGGTGAAGCTATCGATTGTGTAATCGATATCATCGTACCGGATAAATCGACCTTGACGCCTCCAGATGGATTTAGAGAGGTATCGCGGAAGCCTTAGATGATAATACCTGTCAGTTACAGTAGATTTCACGTTAAAACTCATGTTGAAGTAGAATAAAAGTCAATAAAATTTCCTCTGAACTTCTCTCAGCCATAACGGTCATCAATACGGTTTAAATGAAGTTATTTCGTAAGAAAGAAAAGTAAGAAATAATTTTTTTTCCGGGTAATTTATGTAATCCAGCACCAAATTACAGAATTTCACAAGTCAACCATCACAGAAACTGATTAAATAAATTAAACACAGAGGGAAAGTTATTTTTCATTTTACTATCTCGTAAAATGACTTCATTTTTGAAGAAAATAATTCACACGGTTGAAATTATCAAGAGGGTGAGAAAACTTCGTTAAATTTAAATCAACTTGATTTGTCTCGAACAGCCCCACATAAGAATATGGAATGCTGTGAGCCTGGCGACTCTGACGGTGATCGGAAGCGGTGAATTTGACGGTTCAATCTGTTGCCTGTCCTTCTCAAAAGCAGACGGTGGTAGTTACCTGTGTGCTATTGATGAGACATCAGATCACAATATCTCTATTTGGGATTGGCAGAAGAGCGAACGCGGTACAAAAGTCACCGAGACTAAGGTAAAATAGAAGTTGTTAATGTTGCTCAAGTTTTATAAATTATTTTATCATTATTACCATATGTATACTATAAATTGGTGTTATATTGAATACATGAGAAACAGTTTAGAAGAATCAACGTTTGAAAGAAGTAAAGAGCTGTCTTGCATGTTTACAATTAAAAATATTGTAACTTATAAATTTCTAACTTGTTTTTTTTAAGGTGAGTTAGAATTCAGTAGAAAAGCGGTAAACCGAGTTAAGTCGATTTTGACTACTAGCTAGTTTTTGCTGAATATCTCGGAATCTAAGAGAGATAGCAAAATTTTTCTCATGACTTTTTTTATAACGCTCTATTGGCTCTACAAAAAAGGTCTCAACAAAAATCTTTCTATCTCTCTTAGATTCCGAGATATTTGTCAAAAACTAGCCAATAGTAAAAATCGACTTAACCCGGTTTACCGCGTCGCTACTGAATTTATATCTCTCTATATTATAAAAATCCAAATCGCCGTCTGGTGTTGAAAATTTCGTACTCGAAATTAAGACTCCACAATTGAGGGTCACGAGGTTCAGAATCAAGGTCACGAGGTTTAGAATCAGGGTCATGAGGTTCAGAATCAGGGTCATGAGGGTCAATATGGGTCACGATGTTCAGAATCAGGGTCATGAGGGTCAATAAGGGTCACGATGTTCAGAATCAGAGTCATGAGGATCAAAATAAGGATCACGAGGTTCAGATTAAGGATCATATGGGTCAGATTAAGGATCACAAGGGTCAGAATAAGAATGATGGGGGTGACAATGCAACTTGGCAAGATGAATCGGTGACGAAAAAGGTTCCGCCAATTTTTTAACAGATGAATTTCAAGAAGAAAGATTCTTCTGGTGTGATTGAAGGAAGCAAGTGGTGTTATTGAACAGTCGGGAAAACCTTGCCTTCAAAAGAGAAAAGCCAAGGTTCTGCCTCAATAGATTACAAGATATAATGAAAATAAACTCAAGAAATATTCTCAAATCAATCTCCAACCACTTCAAACAATCTGCGAAATAGCAATGAAAATCTGTAACTGTTACAATGTTACGGTCACGCGCCATAAGCCACTAATGACGACATCAAAATAGTCGGCCCGATGGCTTTTACGAGCAATTATGGGCCACCGTTTTATGCTAGCTACTATGATACCGGATTTTCACGATTATTTTTTGCTTTTCTACCATTGAAATTACAGTGCTCAGTGGATACGGTCGTCTGCGCTGAATGGCATCCACTGGAACGCAACCAAATTGTCTCCTGCGGCAAGGGACATGTGTCGTTTTGGTCGCTGGACAATGGTGGAATGCTGTACAAGCGTATGGGGGTGTTTGAGAGCAGGGAGAAGCCGAGATATGTGACTTGTGTTGCTTTCAACCAGAATGGAGACACACTTACTGGCGATAGTAATGGGAATATCATCGTATGGGCGAGAGGTGAGACATTGAGTTGGTGATTGTGGGGATCAAGTGGGTATGAATTATTCAGGGCTGGGTGCAGTCCATTGTTTGAAGGAGGGACTTGGTTTGGGTGATTGAGGAGATTTATTTCATTTGGGATTATGGGAATTGTGAGGGAGGAATTGCCGGATGAGAATTCACGGGATTTAGATGATCCGCACAGACCGAAAAAATGAATTTTATAGTGAATGCCAGGTATCTCTTCTTGAGATACATTTGATTGGGAGAAATCGAGCTTCTCTGGAATTGAAGTTCCTTTTATTTGTCGCAATAATGAGAGGATTTGATTTCTTTCTGGCCAAAAGGTTGCCAACTCCGGAAATTCGTTGGTTCACTCGAAAATAAAAATTATTCTCATGACTAAATACGATCATACGTTGTTCCAAGTAAATTATAATTGAAGTGAGCATTTCGTATGTCGAATCAGGATGAATATTGTTACGCGGAAAAAGCTTTGAAATTGTAGTGAGATGTCGTTGAGTTGAAAGAAGTTTATATTTCTTGACTAAAAAAATCGCATTAGTTTACAATAACAGAATCACAGATTACGGCAATTCAACACAAACTTGGATATCACAAATTTCGTTCAATGTGATGTACGGAAAGCTCAATTTGAACATCGGCTTCATTCGAGAAAACAACATTCAATTCATTCCTCAATATAATCATCTCCTAGGTACGAATTTTTCATCAATTCATGAAAGTAGAAAATTTCTCAACTGGAGATTATATTAGGTTAAAAAAAATCGAACTTTTCCATTTTTGTGGTGAATAGGTGTGACTTTACGCCAAGACTGTTTTATTTGATTCAAGGAAATGTATCCCAAGAAGAAATAATTGATATTCACCGTAAGCTCTTTTAATGCCTAAAAACATAAGATTTCCGAAAGTTTATACAATTTGAATTATTTATTTATAAACCACGAATGTTCAAAAAAATACTTCTGTGCAAAATGTAATTTTAGTGACGCTGAATATTCATGATTTTCTTCAAATTTTTCTCCCGCAATTTAATTGACAAATTTGATGATGGAAAATCGTTGAATCCGTAAAAGATTTGTCCATGAAATTCTGATTCTTCAGTCACAAAAGTCCTCGAAATTTCAGTGAACCTAAATGTACTAAAAATTTCCAAAAAGTCTACCGCAAATTTTAACCGCAAATTTTCAAAAATGTGCAGCATTGATGCCAAAATTGAAAAAAATGAGATAAAAATTTGTCATGATTCAGGTACAAACACAATATCCCGACTAGTTCGAAATCTCCACGAAGGCTCGATCTTCTCAATTTGCGTCCTGAAGAATGGAAATGTAGTGACTGGAGGCGGTAAAGACGGAAGGATTCTCTACTTCGACGGATCCCTGAATTCCACTGGGGAGGGAGCGCAAATTGAGGACCACTTCGGTGGGATTCGAACAGTCTCCGAGGGGAGAGGATCGCAGTTGTTGATTGGAACAACTAGGAATTGTATTCTGGTTGGGGACATAGAGATGGGATTTTGCCCTGCTATGCTGGGGCACACAGAGGAGGTCTGGGGACTCGCTGCACATCCAACACTCCCTCAGTTCGCAACTTCAGGGCATGACAGACTCTTGCAGATGTGGGACAGTCTCAGTCATTCGGTTGTGTGGAGCAAAGATATTGGGGTGCGATTTCAATGATTTCATTATTTTATTCTTGTTTATTGTGATCTTTAAATCACAGACGATTTAGTAAGGATGATTATCTCGGTTTAGGAACAAGCTCAGAGCGTGTGTTTCTCGCCTGACGGTGGAGTCATGGTCGTGGGATGTGTCTCGGGAAAGTGGCTGGTCATTGATAGTGAATCGAGGGAATTCTACACTCAACATACTGATGGCTCTGAAGCTCTTCAGGTAAAACTTCGCATTATTCTACAGAAAAAATAAGGTTCTAATTTTTAAAATTAAATAATAAATTAATTAATTAATTATTCATTAATTAATAATTTTATTTAAAAAATTATTAAATAAAATTATTAATTAATTTACTAATTATTATTTTTATTATTACGTTACGTTTTTTTTATTTTTTTTATTTTTATTCATTTTTTTTCAATTTTTGATTATTAATTAATAATTTCATAAATTATTAAATAAAATTATTAATTAATAATCAAAAATTGAAAAAAAATGAATAAAATCATTCATTATTATATCATTTATTTCATAAATTATTAAATAAAATTATTAATTAATAATAAAAAATTGAAAAAATAAATAAATAAAAATAAATAAAATAAAAAAACGTAAATTAAAAAAAAATTATTAATTAATTGATTGATAAAAATTATTCATAAATTAATTAATAAAATTAAAATGGATAAATAAATAAATTTATTAAAATTTATTGATAAATTGATTAATTAATTAATTAATGCCGGGCTTCATTATCTGCCGAACGTTAACTAAATTGCTTTTTTTGTTGGATTTTTACCTCGAAATTCAGTTTAGTAATAATTTCATTATAATTCACCCTAGGTGGTTAGATTCTCCCCTGACGGAACATTACTCGCCCTGGGTTCACGGGACAATCACATATACATCTACCAAGTCAACGAGGATGCCAGAAAGTACAGTCGCGTTGGAAGGTGCATGGTGAGTAGATTCTCCACCTCCCAAATTTTTCAAGACTCCAAAAAATAGTGTTAAGGATGTTTACAAATAAATAACAATAAAGGACAATGTAAAAAAATGAATCTAATGATCAAAGAAAAACCCGTCAAATAATGCAGACATTTAGAACTTGAAACCCTACATTGAGAGAAAAACGACAAAGTTCTAAAAAAAGTCTTACTTGTGCCGAGAAAATAGTTGTTTGAAAATTATAAAAAAAGAATTTTTTTGTGCCAAACATGCAGAGAGTGCGCCGGAATGAAAAATTTTTGTCGCAAAAATAGATTCAGTAGTTCAAAAAAAATTGCATTCTCTGTACACGCAAGAAATGTCATTTCTAGTACTACTTCTTCGTCATTCGATACTCCCATACGTATTTTGCTCCCGAAAAATCTTCGTTTTATGCGAAACAAGGGATAGTCGTTTTTCGTTTCGGCTGTCTAATAATCACAGACAACAAATGAACCCTTAAATGAAACAATAATAATGATATGATAGCAATCTTGTAACTTAGGGATAAAATATTTGTTGATAAATTTTCCTCTATATGAGATATTTTCATCCTGACAAGGCACCGTTTGGTGTCAATTATCCGCCTCTTGCGCCAAATATTTCGTTGCTGTCGAAAGCAGAACAATTATTCATATTTGAGACTTTCAAATTGAAAACAAACAAATTCTTTTTTGGCAATTTTCAACTAGCGATTTTGTTGGCCCAAACAAGACTTGTTTGACAACGTGTTTATTTTTCTCTCAGTGTATATCATATTATGCTGCATATTGTCTATTTTTTTATCTGAATAATCAACTCGAAATAATCTAATTTTTGAATACTTGCGATTTTTGATGAACATCCTTAAATGAGAGAATCTTGATAACTTGAAAATCTGATAATTTCCTTCGAATTTGTAGCCAAAGAGGATACGACGGGTTCGTGTAAGAGAAATGACTTATAGTGGATGAATTACATGCACCTTCAATGCTCTCAACTTTCAATCAGGGAAAATAGGGGCAAAATGGGGTTCTCCAATCCCTATTATCTCATTTTTACTTTGAATTGAGAAGAAAATTCTAAAATTATGCTAATTTCCCCGCCCATTCTGCCTCCTTCTGCCTTATATTTTGATTGGAAAAAGCTATTGGATTTTTATTGAACTTCTATAGTAAATTTTATTAGTTTTTTGTCGATTCTATTGAAGAATTCCACCGCATTCCGTTGCGTTTTTTTAGAGAAAATGTCAGATAGAGACTATTTTATAGAAAAAAATTTCTACAGGAATTCCTCGACTTCCTGTAGAAGTTTTTTCCACTTCATTTTTCGTTTTTCTCGATTAAAAATTTTTTTCAAAAATGTGAGAAATTTGAATCGTGGAAATTCTACAGAAAATATCTCAGTAGAACAAGTGATATCGAAAAATCAACTTCAATTGACTTTTTATGTAGCACATTGTACATTGAACATTCCAATAGAATCGGCCAAAAACTAATAGACAGTTCAACAGAAATGCAATATTATTCTAGCGAATTCACTAGGTTTTTCTATCAATTTTTTTTTCGTGCGTGAAGGTCCAGTAAAACCTGTGATAACTTATAACTCTAATATAAGCTCTATAAAATCACCTCTCGTAAGTTATATTCTGAGATTGCGTTGTGTTGGTGAAGAAAGTTACCCAATTCCTGACCCTCGTGACCCAATACCATTTTGTAAAATTGTATTATCTGCGTTTTTGTTAATTGTCTGGGTGGTGATCGTATGGAAAGAAAATGAAATCGTGCAATGAAGACTAAAAGTCGTTCTTTTCACGAGTTTACCTTTCTCTTGACACGAATTATTACAACAATGATGGATTTCATTGGAAATAATTATTGTTGATTCACGCAAATATTCTGAATTTCAACATCAATCTGCAATTTGGTAAAACAATAATTTTTCAAATATTACAGAAATATTTTGCATAACTTGTCGCAGGTTTTACTGCACTCAGCATTGATTTTTAGATGCTAGTGCGTATGATTTATTCGTTAGTTGCAGAGTTCCTGCACGTTTTAGGATGATAGAGACTAGGAGCTTAGGCACAAGTGCAAAGCTTTTGTCAATTATGAATAAAAGGTTGAATATCATCATTTTTATTTGAAACAAGTCGTTTTTCTTTGGTTTTAGGGGCACTCTAGTTTTATAACTCATCTCGATTGGTCTGTGGATGGGCAGTATTTGAGGAGTAACAGTGGAGATTATGAATTACTATATTGTAAGTATATTTCGACAGGTCCTAGAGGGAAAGACGTACTCAAGGTCGTCATTTTAAGTGAACGTATCTCAATATTTCAGTTTAAAAATACGTAATTGAGTTTTATGAAGAAATTTTTGTTATCTATTTCCACTTAAAAGTAGAAACTTTCTTCTGCGAAAAAGTGAGATACACCTAGTCAAATCGAAATTCTAAAACAGTAATTCCTAAATCATTTCCTTGAAATACATCTGTTCTTGCACACGTCAATTTCACGTGTGAAGGCAGTATCGAACAGATGGAATAATGAAAGTGTTTAGACTTTAGGCAACTGAATCCCATTGTTTTTATCAACAGGGAATGCAGGAGTCTGCAGACAAATTCCCCAGTCCTCGACTTTACGAGACGTCGACTGGGCAACTCACACTTGTGTGATATCATTCGAGACCATCGGTATATGGCCAGAGGGGGCCGACGGTACCGACGTGAATAACTGCGCTAGAAGTAGTGATGGGAAGCTCTTAGCTACTGGAGATGACTTCGGGAAAGTCAAATTATTCAGTCATCCTGCTTGCCAACCGAAGGTAAGTCTTCGTTTTATTTTATCCATATAGAAAACTATTTTTGGTCCTTATGAACCTTTTTGACCCTCGTGACCCTTGGTTTGACCTTTATGAATCTTTTGACTCTCGTGACCTTTATAAACCCTGAAAATTTACGTCGTCTTAATTGACAAAATTATTATATACAGAGAATAACACTTGTGACCCCGATTTTAGCCCTTCTGAACCTTATTTCGACCCTTATGAACCTTTTGACTCTCATGACCTTTATAAACTTTGAAAATTTTCGCGTTGTCTCAATTGACAAAATTATTATATACAGAGAATGACCCTTGTGACCCTGATTTTGGCCCTTGCGAACCTTATTTTGAGCCTTATTTTATCCATACAGAAAACCCCTATTTGTTATTTCATTCACCAATGGTATATTTCAATACGAGTGCGCAAACGTTTTTTCTACCCATGGGAGTACTTATGATTTTCATTTTGGCCCTTATGAACCTTTTTGACCCTCGTGACCTTTATAAACCCTGAAAATTTACGTTGTCTTAATTGAAAAAAATATTATATACAGAGAAAAACCCTTGTGACCCTGATTTTGGCCCTTGTGAACCTTATGTCGACCCTTATGAACCTTTTGACCCTCATGACCTTTATAAACTTTGAAAATTTTCGTGTTGTCTTAATTGACAAATTATTATAGATAAAGAATGACCACCGAATGACCCTTGTGACCCTGATTTTGGCCCTTGTGAACTTTATTTTGAGCCTTATGAACCTTTTGACCCTCGTGACCTTTATAAACCCTGAAAATTTTCGCGTTGTCTTAATTGGCAAAATTATTACATATAGAGAATAGAGATTAAAATCTTGTTCAGTGAACATAAGAATTAGAACATGAACAAATCATTTAATATAATATGAAAATATCATACCTGATAAATTGGGACATATGATTCTCGTCGGTCGTATTGCTTTTTGCAGTGAGAATGATTATAAACAATTAATTGAAAAAATAACTATCGAATCTCACGGGAAAAACCACGTAATAAAAGGACATCAATTAGTAATAAAAAAAATTCAGGTAGACATATTCTTAAACCGCCAATTAATTGAAAATTCGGCATAATTTCCTCCCAGATCTTCATGCTTTTACTAAAAAATGAAGTGAGTTGAGGTATTCTCGTCCGCCTGCTGCTCAAAAGTACAGAATTCTATTAAAATTTCCGTAAGATCAGAAAATCTCCTGATTTTCCCCTCTAAATTTCAACTATTTTCAATCATTTCCATTCGTCGTTCAATAACCCAACTCTATTTAATTCTTCGTGATATTTTTCCAGTCATTATCACACGCCTACGGTGGCCACTCCAGTCACGTGACCAACGTATCATTCCTCCAAGACGACACACGTCTGGTATCAGCAGGTGGTGCTGATACCAGTGTTCTCCAATGGATCGTCAACTAATCGTTCGATAAATGAGAGAGAAAAATCGACGGAAAATGAAGGTAGTCATGAAACATGGAGCTGAAGAGAACAAATGGCCGAGAATTTTCCAAAAAATATCTCGGCAAATTATAAAAATTAATGATAAGAATCAGAAAGATGAGATAACTAAAAGATGAAAACTATTGCAACCATGATACCGTCCATGTGAAAGTGCGAATTTAAAACAGTGTCAATTTATTTTCTACGTACTTACATATTTCTCGTGGATTATCAACTCTCCAAACCTGATAAACATAATATTCATACTGCTGTTATGATTATTTCTAGAATAATTTGCGCAAATTGAGAGTTAAGTAGGTAATACTTACGTGTGCTTTGTACGAGATAATTGTTTGATAATATTTTTCATGCGGATGGGTGTCTTCATGATCTACGCAGGTGTAAATAATGCAATAAGTATATTTGTTGTACGTTATCATTAACTGATTGCTACGTCATAATATTGTCTATTTTCTACGTAATCTTTCTCTAATGTTTTTTTTCTTTTCGGTATTAAAATGCTCTACCAAAGTTCAATTGAACAGTCCACGATATGTTATTTTTCCAAACTCTATCGCCGTGTAAGATAATGGAAAATATGAGGATACGTATAAATTTTGAACACGTTTTATTTATCTTCGGGTAATGACAGGGGTGAGATGGTAATTCAGTTGTGAAGTGGTTTTTGGTGATTTTTTCGTGGAGAATTCAATGTTTCGTAGAGATTGGGACATGAGTTTTTTTTTTCTAAAACCGATTCATGGTTTTTTATCTGATTTTTTTTTATTGAATGAAGTTATGAGGTACGAAGATTGGATAAAAAATATGAGATACGTATTTTTTTGGGTTGAAATATTATAACAAATACGGGTCCAATATTTTTCCTTCAATTTTCGTACTCAGCTATGAAAAAAATCAGATTGAGTGGTCATTCAACTTGAAATATCTTGAAAAGGAATAGATTTATGAGAAAATGTCAAAATACATTTTCTGTAGAGAATAAAATTTTCAACAAAAAATGTTCTGTGACACTTTTCTCTAAAACCCATAATTATCAAGATAGATGAATTCTTGGAATCCCTTGCGGTTAAAAAAATGAAAAACTAAAAACAGGAAATGTCGTACAACATTTTTCATAAGATCAATCTTTATAATTACATCAATTGATTTTGAACGTGAGTTTCAATTGAAATTGAAATGTTACGAAATTAAAAAATCTCGAAAATAAGTGGAAAAATGTTAAAAGATCTTTTTTATCGGACGAATGCATTTCGAATTTGAATTTCGATGGAAATTGCAATTGAGAATCTCTTCAAACGACTGAGTTTTCAAACCGAATGAAATTTCCAATTAAAAATATCGAGATAATACCGAAATAACTAGACAAATTCATCATCAACAGAAATCAATCTACTGAATCTACTGAAATTCACGTTTTCTCCAAGTGAAAACGTTTCCAGAACAAGTGGATTTGAACTGAAAAATACAAAAGGCAATTTTCCTTAGAAATTGGAATTCTCGAAAAAAAAGCAAAAAATCCCGTCCCGTCACGTTTCACCACTTCACGACTGAATTAAAATTCGTTATGAGAAATGTTGTGTAAATTCGATGAAAATGCGAGTGAAACTGTCGTAAGAGAAAATCGAGAGGAAATAATAACGAGTTGAGAAAAACTCAGAGTGGAAGTGTCTGTTTATTTATACTCCCCCCCCCCCCCCCCCCCCC